TTGTTTTTTTTCTCCAAGTTGAGCATCATTATGTCAAAGAGATTATCCTCTACGTCTGGCTGGTAGAAATCTTCCAACAGAGGCGCTTCCTCCGTTTGACTCGCACCCAGGGAGGGAGGCTGCTCGAAAAGGACTGGCGCAGGTTGACCAGGCATCGTGAATTCTGGCGCATGTGGCCAAGTGATGGGCTCCATGGATGCTAAGGGTTCCATTGGCTCAGGATGAAATACGGGAGGTGGTGGCGGTGGATTCATTCGAGTCTTTTGAGCTGGTGGACCTAATCGAGATCTCTTTGCCGGAGGTGCCTCCTCCAGCATGTGCAAGGGCGTGGGAGGAGGCAATTTATAACACTGGTGCTCGAAGTCCTGGTGGTCTCGGTAATCACATCCCTCCGGCACCGGGCAGTCGCTCTGGACAATGTCCAATGTGAAGATTGTTTTTTGCACCGTCATCATCACATACTCGACTCCTTCTGGTATACTATAGCGTTTCCATGGCTGAAACACAAAGAGGTCATATTTGAATTGGTCCGTTGGCTTCAAGCTCTTTCGCACCGTCCAAGGCTTTTGGTCCCAACTGGAGAGCACGTACAGTTGGAGGGGTGCGTCTGAGGTCTGGTAGACGTGCTTCGTTCCAACCTGCGCGATCCTGAGTCCAAATGTAAATCCAAATTTTACGATGTACATATTGTCCATTTGGAATCCAAGCCGTTGGTCTGAATTTTTCAAGTGGTTTCTGTGTAGGTTTTTGATGAGCTTACGGACTACCTTTTCCCATTGTGGCTTATTCGGCGAACAGTGCCGCGCCTCTGACACACACCGCAGGAAATTTTGAATTACTTTTTTTTTCTGTCCACTTTAAGTCAAGTTTCGTGTAAAACATTCTATAATGTTCTTGCTCTTGAAAGGCTATGAATGCGGTGACTGGTCCCATCTTGGCAGCATGTTCAAAGGCATCCAAGTTATCCTCCAGGCTAAGAGTATGGAGTGAAGAGGTCAGGGCATTCGGAAACACATCCATGGTTTGACACGAGTAGCAAAGCTTTTTCGATCTTTTGAGTCGAAAGTGAAATTTCTCCCGCAGTGCCTCTGCTTTTATAGCCGAAAAGCAGGATGTGCATCCGTTTAGTGGGCGAGTCCATTTAGCAGATGACGTCAGGGGGTGTTTTGCTTCCAAAGGGCTTTTCACACACGGGAAGCAAGCTTGACGCAATCGATCTTGGATTGTTTTGGGTAGAAATTTCTTGGCAGGACTTGTGCNAAAACTTCATCAGCAGACAGCCCTTCCGCTGGTTTCGGTTTCGCATCTGCTGATTCTATCCAACCAAATAAATTATAAATAAATCTAGAAGCAAAGCCTCATTTTATTTCAAATTCTGTTACAATTGATTATCAATTTCTCATCTTTATTCTTTGAATTGAAGTGAAAGGAATTATTTTTTCAGATATCAATTAGCCAAGTGCAATTTATCGTTTTCAATTTGTTTACATTTAAAAAATTCGCATAGTTTGTTTATTTATTTAAAAAAAAGGTCTTTTTCAAGACCATTCTTTAAACTATTCTTTAAGTTATTGTTTATATTTAAGTTTTCGTTAATTATTTGTTTTTATATATATTTTGTTGACATTTTTTTAACGATGCCAAGACCGAAGCGTGGTCGAGTGACTGCAAAGGTAAAAGCCAATAAACGTTGGTGTAAAGATACTGATTTTTCCGATGCAAATGTTTCGTTAGAAATAGATCTTAATCAAAATAAAAGACTTTCATACCTGGAAAATTCTTTATGTTCTGCCGTTGAAAACAGAAATGAAGTTTCAGTACCACAATATGCCATTGTGGATGTCAAGCAATTTTCTCAACTTTTGGAAAATGTTTTGTGCAAGTTTTGCATGAAACAAACTTTATCAATTACGTTTGGAGAAAAACTTGGCATGTCAGTGAAGATGAATCTTGTTTGTTCTTCATGTTCAGCAAATAAAAAAGTATCCTCATCTAAGACAATTGTGCAGCAGGAGGAGAAAACAATTGACATTAACCGAAGAGTAGTGCAAAGCTTTTTAAGCATTGGTAAAGGTTATGCAGCTCTTCGACAATTTTGTATGCTAATGAACTTAGATTTAATGTCTAGTAGGACTTTCAATAATCATAAAAATAAATTGTATTTTACTAGTCGTCAGCTTTTTAAAGAACATATTCATGACATCAGCTCAAAGGTGAAAGATGCATATGATTTTGAAAACTCCGGAGCAATACTTGATATTGGTGTTTCTTTTGATGGAACTTGGCTTACACGAGGGCATTCCTCTCAAATTGGCATAGGCTGTGTGATCGATATCCTTACAGGCTTTGTCATAGACTGCGAAATTATGTCTAAAAGATGTATTGAATGTGAGAAAGCCAGCAGCGAATTGGGGAAGAAATCGCCTGAATTTGACATATGGTACAGTGGCCACCGAAACTCATGTAACATTAATCATCTGGGCTCTTCAGGAGCTATGGAGCAAGAAGCAGCTCTGTTATTGTGGAAAAGATCCGAGCATCTAGGTTTTAGGTATGTGACAATATTGTCAGATGGTGACGCAAGAACATTTACTTACCTAAATTCCAAAAACATTTATGGTGATACAGAGATTAAGAAAGAGGAATGTATTAATCATGTCAGCAAAAGATTAGGAACTGGTTTACGAAATGCTGTGAAAGAGTGGCGTGGGAAAGGTGTGACTTTGGGGGGGAAATCTCATGGTAGTTTGAAAGAAACTACTATAAAGAAATTAACTCGCTACTATCAGAATGCCATTCGACAAAATAAAGGCGATGTTAATGCAATGAAAACTGCTATCTATGCAACATTGTACCATAGTATATCAACTGATATTAAACCCCAGCATTTTAAATGTCCACCTGGTGAAAACTCATGGTGTTTTTATCAATCAGCTATCTCGAGAAATGAAACACCAGGTTCTCACAAAATGCATGTTAACACACCGATAAACGAAGGACATTTATCGAAAATCCTTCCTATCTATCAACGGCTAGCGTCAAATGAAATATTGGAACGTTGTGTCAGATGTGCAACCCAGAATGCAAATGAAAGTTTGCATAGTGTGATCTGGAACAAGTGTTCAAAGCAGACTTCAGCGTCTTTACGACGAGCAAATTTAGCTATGTGCGACGCAGTTATGGAGTTCAACTTGGGGACATATCAGCATCTGAAACTCTTAGAAAAAGCTACGGCTATATACATGAGTAGAAATTCTGCCACAACAGCCTTATTTATTGACAAAAGAAGGGTATATTTTAGAAAACGTAGGAATAATGCTGTTGCTACTGCTGCAAGACAGAAAATTCGACTTGCGATAAAACGCCGCAATGCCAATAAAATAAAAAAAGAAGGCATAACTTACCAACCTGGGGGATTTTAAAAGAGAAAAATAAGTGTTCTATGCTTCTCTGGTGTTTTTATGTGGTTCATTTATGACTGTGATAAGTAAAAAGACCTCCTAAATGTGCTAATATGTAAATAAACAAAGTTTCTCGTGTTTAGCTCATGTGTTCTGCAATTTAAAAAAAGTGTATATTTAAAAATATTATTAATTTTTTGAAGCGTTTTTATGGTTTTTACATACATAACTGTATAAATTTGTTTTTTATAATGTATAATACATATTTTGGTTTGTTATTATTACTTTTTCAACAAAAACAAAACTTTAAAGTGCTTTTTCTCATAGATGATAATTTTGTGTTTACATCTTATTTAAATCCCTAAGGATTTTTTTCTATTTAAGGTAAAGCTTTGAAGTAAACTTTTTTATGTTAAGTATATTTCACTTCTTTAAACTGTGCATGGAATAAGAATTTCATAAGGTATTACAATTTTCACAGCATGTTGTATTAACATATTAGGAATTTTTGATAATTTTTTCCTACTTTTTTACGTAAAAAACCATAAAAATTTTTCTAATTGATATATCAACAAATGAATGCACAAAGTTGTAAACATGAATATTGTAAGCATTAAGAAAAAAAAATTTTCTTAAAATATGTAAAAATAAAAAAGCCTTAGCGATTTAAAAATTGTTAATTTTTTTAAATTTTTTTTAAATTTTAAAAAAACTAAACAGGTTAACAATTTTTTGAAGATAAATTATTGATTATAAGTTAAATGAGCATGTAAATCATCCAAAAAATTAAAGATTATGTCTTTATTTAAAAAAAATGTTGCAAGGGTACCGTGACCCCTTAAATCATAAAAGATAGATGGAATGTTTTATCTATGATCTTTATTCTTCATTTAAATTCATTCATTTTCCGATTCTGAATAAATCTGAAAGAAATAGCAAGTCATTTTTAAAAAAATATTTTTTAATGAAAACTATCATTCTGTGTACATTTGTCTTCGTATTCTTTCTGCGCTAATAGCGCTCTATAAGTATTATAAGCGAGCTCTTGCTCCTGGCTCTTTTATTTAGTTTCCAGAATTTTCCTCTTTAGCTTCCGGAGTTCTCGTTTTTCCTCTTCATTCTGAAGAGCAACCACCTCTATTGTCTTTAGCTGCAAATCTTTCAGTGAAGATCTAGAGACGAGGGGGAAAAAATTACTTTAATGAAAAACAAGGACTATTCATAAAATAAAAAACATTATGAAACTTTTATTGTCAGTTTTTCTTCCATACATTCAATATTATGGGATTGTGGTGTGTAAGTACACTTGAAGTATCAGACTGTTTACAGGTTAAATACAGTAATACCTCGAGATACGAGTTTAATTTCTTCCGTAACCTTGCTCGTATCTCAAAGCAATTTTCCCCATTGAAATTACTTGAAATGTCATTAATCCGTTCCAGCGCCAAAAATGCTACTCCCAATTGTTTTTGTTACGTGTTTTCGCATACGAAAAATTTATTTATAAATGACAAATATTGTATAAAAACATAATAAATGAGAATGTTAAGCAAAAAAAAAAATGGTTTTATAAAGTGTTCATACATATTTGTATTTTGATCATGAAATAAGAAATGAATGTAAGAAAACATGAGTGTAGTGTTGTATATCAGGATGCATAAAAATGGGGCTTTTCTCATGTCGGGAAACACTAACAGAGTTAAGCTTATTCATTTGTTCTTTTAGATTTGTGACAAGTGTTTTGTGTATGCACTGCTTGTTATCAAATTCGTTGAACATATCTGCTGGTAACACGAGAGATTTTCCATACACAAGTTCAGCACTGGTGGCTTGCAAATCACTTTTGAAGGCGGTTCGAATTCCTAATAAAATGATAGGCAATGTGTCATTCCATCTAGGATTTTCGTGGGCCTTTAATAAACTTTTCATTTGGCAATGAAATCGTTCAATGATACTATTTGACATTGGGTGATAGGCTGTTGTACGGATGTGGTTTGTACCAGTCAGAATATTTAGTTCATGAAAAAGAGATGATTCTAGTTGTCTACCTTGATCAGTTGTAATTGTGGAGGGACAACCGAAGCGAGAAATCCACACATTGAAAAGGGCTCTGCACACAGTGGAAGCTTTAGCGTCTGGAATTGGTATCGCTTCAGGCCATCTAGTGAAACGATCTATGATTGGGAGACAATATGTGTTGCCATCACATGGAAGTAGAGGTCCTACCAGGTCTAGGTGGATGTGTCTGGTAGCATCTGGTAGAGTGAAGTTACCCAGTGGTGTTTTCGTGTGTTTATGAATCGTCGAACGTTGGCATGGTTCGCAACATCTAACTTGCTCTGTGATGTACTTGTGCATATTTGGAAAAACATATTTATCACAGATGAACTTTTTTGTCGCAGAGATTCCTGGATGAGAAAGTCCGTGAAGTTGATTGAAAATGATTTTACGATACAGTTTTGGTGCAAAAGGACGAGGTTTACCAGTTGAAACATCACAATATAGTTGCACATTTAATATGGGAATAAATGTTTGTTCCAATTTTAGTGAACATAATGCCTTACACTTTATTTGGTTTATGGAAATGATTGTTTCTTCTTCTGACTCATTGCCAATTTTTAGGGAGGGGAAATTTTTGTCCCGCCAGCATAGGGACACTTCTTGAATGGTCGTACCTCCTTCTATTTTCTTTCAACAACATAGATTTCCTTAGTAAATGCTTCAAAAATAAATGTCACATTTTTATTTTTCAATAAGAGATTCCTTGCAATCCTTCTTTTCGAACTTTTTCTTCTTTGTGTTCTCTTACTGAAAGAGGAAGCTACTCTACTCGATTATTGATAACATTTTTGTTTTCATTTTACTATCCTGATATTTTTTTTTTTAACATCTGAAGGTGATTTTCAAAAGGAAAGCTACTAAATCTGTTGAACGGACCGAAATTCAAAACATCATCTGCTAAGTGAATCAGAGAATGAGCGTTATAGGAAATTAATTTCTTTTAAATCTAACGTTTGGATACGTGATTTGAATTCTCGATTGGTTGCCAAGTACGCAACCACTTAAACAGTTTTTTTTAAAGCTTCTCGAGGAATTGATGGAGAATCGAAGTACCATTTTTTTTTATAAAGTCTCTAATATCCGATGGAGCTTCTAACTGCCTTTGATCGCAATTAATTTCTTCAATGGAAGTATCAGACATTGTCGTATTAACCAATGAATCACTGGAAATATCAGAAATCAACTGTTGTGTCATGCTTTCCTGGCGGTTGAAGGGCCCTCAAATGAAACTTCAGATTTTTGTTTTAATTTCTTTTGGTGAATTTTTTCTGTTTGAAATACTTCATTCATTTTTTCAGCTAAAGCATTTCCTTGTCCATGTCCTCGAAAGCCTTGGCTACCTTTCGTATTTCCTACCTTTTTTATGATGATGGAATGTTTTAAGAATTTAAAGTACGGAACTTCAATTCTTCGAATTAAGAAACTTGCTTTAGTAGCGTTTTTAACCCTAGCGACGATGACCGGGTACCTTTTTGCGAGAGTCATCGTGATTTTTATCATTTCTAATTAAGCCTCGGCAAAATCGCTTTTAATCCTCGTTATTTACATGAATCTGAACTGAAACATTTAATTGTAATATTTTTTCGGAAAACTTATTGTTGGATTTTGATGCTGAAAACTTTCTAAACCATCTACATGTAAAATCTATCTGACTATTATCACGACTAATATAATAATAACAATAATAATAATTATTTTTATTATAATTTATTATTATAATTATATAATATTATAGTTATTTATTATTATTACCTATACAAATATAATTATAGAAAACAATATTTTTCTGCACATATTATAGTTGTTTATTGCTATTATTATTATTATCTTGGCAAATATAATTCTATAAAAAATTACGTTTCAGCACATGATTTACATTGACATATTGAGATTGAATGCTTATCACAAACTGGGTTTCCACACGTTTCACACGATTTTTCCCGTCGAATCCCGTGACTGAAAATCTGTGGTAGTACTGGAGCTGGACGGTCTAGCTACTCTGAGGTTTTCAGAATGCTTTCTACACCTGATCTGGGTGAAAAATGTCGTATGCTTTGAATATTTGTGGACCTTTCCTGTATTGTTGGAAGACACAAGTTTTCACCAAACGCAAAAAAATAAACGGCGGTCATTCTTTTTATGACTGTGCATATCGACATTAGCCTTATATAGTATAATATAAGCAGCTAGAGTAGATATACCACAAGTGGCCATCTCTTCGTTTGCCTCTGAGATGTATAATTTCGAAGCATCTGATCCATATAACGGCTTTTATCTTCTTTGGAACATATTGTAACATCACCATTTACTCTGAATAATGAACTCTGTGAATCGCGAATTTTACATGGTAACAATTCATCTGGGAAATATTTCTTTTTAGTGTTCCTACGATTGTCAGACGCCATGCCAACAAAAGTTGAGTCAAAGAGTGAGACGTGAGGAAATTATCCATTGTAATGTTTCTGCCAGAGCGTTTGTATGGAGCTGGTATAACTTGCAGTTGGTATAACTTGCTTTGATCTTATGAGGCTAAAGAAGTTTTCTACATAATCTTGTGTGAAACAAGTTAAATTATATTTAACTTTCATTTCACCAAGAAGAACTGATTGTAATTGCAGCATCGACATTGTTGATATAATAACACCAGTCTGTATGGGTTTCCAAATTATTTTGATGGTTTACAATTTTTAGGTTTTCGAATAAATTTATGGTCTCGGCTAAAAAAAGTTATTGTTTCAAAATATGATTGCTCATTAAAGTTACTGGTGTCAATAATGGGATGTCATTTAAGTAAACCATCTATGTACGTGCTGCAAAAACCATGCATTTATTCAAATGCAAACTACTGCATTTGAAACTTTCATTTTCTGAAAATGATTGTTTTCTATGTGCCCTAAAGTTAATTTTGGCGCTAATTTCAACTCACATTTTCTTGGTGGTAAAGAAATTTACCCAAATGCTTAGATTGTACCTTAGGAGAGGACAAATCATACTTGTCTAAAAAATATTGAGGTAGAAGGAAATACTTATTTGCTAGAAGGCACGAGTTGATGTTCTTTATAAGGTGAGGCACATCAGCCATAAAAGTCAACATCTTTGTGGAAGCACGAGAATGGGATATGGATGACATATCCACACCGCTTCGGCTGCACTTTATGCGGAAGTCTTTCCAGGTGGCTCTATTTGAGGACCCCATGTCCATTGTAACATTAACAACACAGATACTTATCTTATGACATTCTTGTATGATTTCTGTGATAATGTTTTTAAATTCAATACCAAGCCCTTTGCCACTGCCAAAATAATATGCAATTACTTGCTTCCAGCGTTAGCATTCCTCCTAGCATAAAAACCAAAGCATTTTTGGCTTTTCCATCTAGAGAGGGGTATGTCACTTCCCCCAAGTATGTTCCCGAAGAAAGGTCATACTCAATGCTAGGAGTTATAGCCTCGATAGCTAAATTACTCAGCTTTTCCTGGCTATACTTAAAGTTTTTCACTTTTACTTCCAAGAGCTGCAATACTTCTTTCAAAATTCCAGAAGGAAACTTTATATTTTCAATCCTCCTTTAGAGCATACGCTTTGATGGATAGGGAAGATTATTGGCCATCAAAGCGTTTTAGTCATTAGCTCCACAAGAAAAGTTTAGGCCCAATGCAGTTTGAATGGTTGCATTAGACCATTTAGATACTTTTGATTGACAGAGAGCTTCTATTTGATCTGCGTTAAAAACTTTTGCCAGGGGTTGGAAGTTTTGCTTTAGTTTTCTTTTTAGTTTAAATAGCTCTAAGGATTTTTTTTTTTAAGTCTAGCTTTTAAGAGTAAATTTGCAGCCGTCAATCTTTTATTTTCGGATTGAAACTTATGCAGCTCGGTTTTCAGCTCATTTATAGTGTCATTCGATGAAACAACAGTTTCTGTAAAAACTTGAGGGAGAGGTCTTACAACAGGAAGCTTCCTTTTCACATACAGAGGAGAATAACTAAAAAGTATCGGAACAGCAATCCTTTTTAGCTTTCTTTTGCCATTTTTTGTTTCCAGCTCCCACTCGTCATCATCAAAATGAACCTAAAATACAAAAAAACTTTTTTAGCATTTTATACTTAAAATGAAAAAGAACACTTGTCACTTGTGGTAGGACAGTTATTTGTAAATTGGCATTTACCTATAAACTTCAAAGTCTTGTTATAATTCTCTTTAACTTTATAGTGTATAATCATAATTCATCTAAAATATAATTACAAAAAAAAAGTAAAACATTATTGAAAAATTTAAATAGTATCTTCCCGCTTTAAAAAATAATCAAAGAAGAATAAATAAATGAAATAAAATTTTTAAAAAAAAACGTAATACAACCAGCCCTAAAGTCCCCCCCTTACCCTTCTCCTTACCTCAATGATCTAATCTGAATTATTACAGATAAAAAGAATATTCATTGATACAGCGAGAAGCATTCATGCTGCCCAGAAAGCGAGAGGGGAAAAATCCCTACAGATTTTCCCTATGGAGGTACCTTTTTTCCAGGGACCTTTTTTTCCAGGGACCCTTTTTTTCCGTATACCGATTATTTAACTCTATCCATTTGCCTAAGAATCAATACTAAAGTATCAATAATATAAACTTTATGATTGGAAAGCTCATGATATTACAGATTTTTAAGAAACATTGTAAGAAAAATTAGCATATCACATTGTTAAAAAATTAACGTTAATGAATAAAAGACTGATGAAAAGACTTCAGCTTTAAATAAATGCCATAAATAAAATATAAAAATTAATATGATTATGTTATTCGTTTCAGAAATAATAATTAACAAAATAAATTACATAATTTATTACTTTTTCATTAAGAAAATCAATAAAAAAAAATAAGTGGTGGGTTATAAATTTTGAAACAAGTATCTCTACATGAAGCACAAGTTGGGACACAACATATAAAAAATTTAGAACATACAATAACATTTAAGTATATATAAATGCTACTCAAACTCTGAGTTCAAAACAATAAAAGTTTAACATAGCGGTGGCCTAAACCTTAGAATGACAATATCCTCCTTTGGATCTTGTGCCATAAAACTTCTACATTCAATCAATCAATCTTAGAATGACAAGTAAAATTAAAGTTACTGAAAAATAGTATTATGATCGCCAAAATTTAATAAAAAGTACACCTTCACTGGTCACTCTTGTGCCCGAACCTTAGGCACTTGAAGCAACGCAACTTAGGCACTTAAAGCAACAAAGTTACTGAAGAATAATATTATGATCGCCAAAATTTAATAAAAAGTACACATTCACTGGTCACTCTTGTGCCCGAACCTTAGGCACTTGAAGCAACGCATTGGTTCGATGTATTCTCTGACCTTATGCTCGGTCCACTGCTGTTGGACTCTACCCATTTGGATGACTTTGTGAAACACCTCTGGTGTCGCACATTCCATCACCCAATGGGCATTATCCCGACCGCTCCTCATCGAGAATTTAAAGAACAGATCTCCATCTCCTAGCCCCTTTGTACACTCTTCCAGATTGAGCATTTTACCTCCTGGCATGCTCTTTTTCAAGTCTTTGTCGTACCCCATGTCGTAGATGACTACCATGGGTCGACGTAGCTTGGGCGTTCTGGCTTCTACCTTCTCTTTTATCTTGTCGCTTTTCTCTATCAGGGACTTAACCTTGTCCCTCTCTTCATTTGTGCCAACTTCTATGGCCATGCCCCTTTGGCCTATTCAGCTTGTTCTTCGTACTTTAATCTCTTTGCTGCTTGGGTTGATGCTCTTTTTTAAAAGAGCCTCAACTTCCGCAGAGCCCTTCAATTCCTCTGTCTTTGGGAAAACCAACAAAGTTGCAGGCTTCGTTGGTTTTGTCGATTTTTTCAGGATGTCCGAGTTAGACATTCCTTGCTGCGGGACTCCTGCATTCGTTTGGGTTCTTACGTCCCTTTTCTCTGGAGAATGGCTCGTTCTCTCTATGACCAACTCTTCTAAAAGCTGCGTCATTTCTTCCCTGATTTCGCTTGAAAGCTTATATCTGCTACAAAAGTCGAAGACTCTTGTGTATGACGTCAGGGACGCTGTCACTGCCAGGCTGTTGCTCTCTTTCTCCACCGCTGGATCGTAGACTTGGACTACATCCCCACATTCTACTGCTTTCACTGGTGTAGGAGGGGGTAGATTCGGGATCTCCACCACCCTCTTCTTCTTCACCTTTTTATCCCTCTTACGGGATGCGGTGCTTCTTTCACTATCTGTACTCATAGTGATTTAAAATAATCTCAGTAAAAATCAAATAAAACCAATCAAATTCGCATGTATTTAAGTATCTAATTGTCTGTCATTCAAATATAATAAGGTTTGGTTTGGTCACTTTCCCTTCCAGCCACTGGCCTAGAAAGCGCCGAACTAGACCAGCACCATTGCTTCCAGTCCCTAGTCAGCAGTAACCCAGGGTTGTTATTTTCCAGGCGTTTTCAACTCATCGCCTACCACTTGGTAAGAACCTGACCGCACGTGGATGTGGAGCCGTTCCTACAAGTACCGGCTTAAACCACTTATTGGCCTCTCACTCTCTTTATTCGACACACCCCTTGGCACTACTTCACTTTCCGCTGACGAATGGCCTTTGTTACCAAAGGTGATCCCAACGTAGGTACAGGATCCGCCGCCATTTAAGGCAAGCCCCAAGTGATGTGTCGAGTCTAGATTGATGATCAACCAACGGTTAGTATGCTTTGTGTAACTTGACTATTATTCTCTGCATCCCTTTCAATCACACTTTCATCCTGACAAACTAACAGTTGCACAGACAGACCCAAGTCAAACTTACTCGCACAACTAGAGAACAAAAAGATATGTTTTGTGGGTTTTTTAAAATTTTTATCTCTTTTATTTGGTTTTCGTGTGGCGCTTGATATCAGAGGCGCAATACACACCCTAATTAGTCACAAAGAATTACAAACAAAGAACTAACACTCGTTCGCAATCACTCAAAGGGCCATAAAACCCTTAAAGTAAAAATGGGGGCGGAGGTTTTAGGCTTCCACCCCCCCTTATTAACACACATACTCAGCAGGTTCGTGACCAACTCTTGTTCACAAATACTCATGCTAGGCCTACTAACCCTTAAAGAGAAAAAGGGGGAGTGGAGGCTTTTTGCCTCCACCCCCCCTTTTCAGCACCAAACTCAAACTCCCTTAGCAGGCCACTATGTCTACTTGGGCTAAAAGCAAAAAGGGGGGAGTGGAGGTTTCAAGCCTCCACCCCCCCTTTCCAAACTCAAACTCCCTAAAGGCCCACATCCCAAGACTGACTCGCCTGCCCTCTAAGCCTAAAAGCAAAAAGGGGTTTCTCACGAACATCCAACCGAGACATATGCTCCGCTATACCCAGACCATTCTCATCCTCTAGACCACCATCGTCCTCCACTCACTAACACAATCACACATGACCCAGGCCTCTGCCTGCCGAACCAGATGGACCAGAGCGCACATGACGCAACGAAGAAAAATAAAGGCGGGGGGGGGAGAGACGACCCGGACCGAAAAAAAAGGAACGGAAGGAAACGGAAACGCAAAAAGAAGACGTGCACAATGGTCCACCACCCAACTCGATCTCGCACCCTCTCGACCACGCACTCTCTCATCCTCGCTCCCTCACTTAGTCGCTCTCTCGCCACTCTCTTCGCGACTCTCTTTGCCACTCCCTTGCACCATCACAAAGCCACTCTCTTCGCGACTCTCTTTGCCACTCCCTTGCACCATCACAAAGCCCCTCTCTCGCACACGTCTGCCCACAGACACCCTCCACTTGTGAAAAAAAAAGACGAAGCGGAAGCAACGCAAGAAAGAACGCGATGACGTAGTAGAACCATTGGCGGGATGTATCTAAGCGCACGATGAAAAAGACCGCTGACCTCGAACCACCAACTCGCTCAGCCTTGCCGGCCCGCTCTAATCGAGCAGGTTCGGTCTCATGGGCTTGCCTAGGCAAGCCCGCACGGGCATTAGTTGTCTTTTGGACATCCATCTCGTGGGACGTAAACCCTGCCCGTTTCACGAGATAGTAGATAGGGACAATCCTCCAGAAGTGGCCTGGTACCTTAGAATCACTAGGATCCCCTAACCCATTAATGCCCCCCCCCCTGTTAACTGATCCAGCTAGCCACAGCCCGGGTGGGCCCAGAACAACCCGCTGGAAAAGAAAG